TGAAACTTTTACAGTCTTCGGCTTTAGGAAAATACTACATTTATCTGTGGACATTAAGGGCTCATGTTTGGAATTAATAAATATAACTGAACACTAAGATGAAAAACAATTTGCTATTAACTGCCAAGTGGCTAGATTTGTTCCTCAGAGCCGGCGACCTGTAACACTCGGGCCTATAGGGCCTTGAACTTCTGACAAGGCTTACACGGTCTACAACAAGGAATAGCTAAACTTTGTATTCCGAAGGAAAGGACCTTAGAGAGGTGGCAAGATAAGAAAAGATTATGTAAAAATAGGCTGAGGAAATCTGGAGTGTCAGATGAATTTAAGAAAGGGACTCTCCATGTGGGATTATAGAAGGAACATGTAATCTTGATAATACTCATTTGATTCTCAGCAGTTAATGAATTCATTTATTCATAAATCAATGGCAATATATGTGCTGCCCTGAGTTGTTGGATATCTGTTATTATGTCTTTCCCAGGCTCACTGCACTGTAATGGGGACCTTCAGGGTTATTAAATAACATGATCATAACCATTTTCAGCCGTTGCTTGGTGCTGCTACCATAGGAAGCAGCTTTCTGTTCTTCCCATGAACACTTCTACAATAACACCAGTTTGCATGAAATGAGGTACAGGAGGGGGAAAAGGATAGGAGTTCAAAAGCAGGGCTTCAAATTACTTAAATCTTGTTTTACTTCCTGTTTACATTTTGCATTTCCATCCCAGACATACTGAACCAGGATCTACTTTTTAACAAAATACTTAGGTGATTCTTATAGATCTTATGTATCTTGTTAAGATGTTGATTCTGATTAAATCTTTCTGAGTCAGAAATGCAGATCCTCAGGAAAGGTCAAGTCAGAATGAACCAGTTCAAAGTCCTGCTCAAAAGCAAAACATTTAGCAGGTCAGCAGAATGAGTAAGCATCTCGCTTTTAGGGAAGCATCTAAGTCAAAAAGAGATGTGATATTCTGAGTGTTACTAATGATCTCACCATTGGACCAATAAATAACATCAAGATAAATGGAAAAAAGATTGAAGTTGTCTAAGACTTCATTTTGCTTGGATCAACCATCAACATTCATAGAAGCAACAGTCAAGAAATCAAA